GATAACTTAATGTTTTACTGAGTTTGGGAGGAGAGGAACCAAGCCCCTCGGGAAGATCCTAAATCCTGTTCAAGTCCTTGGATTGGACTAGATGATCTCCAGAGGTCCATTCCAAACTCAGCCCTTCCATTATTGCATGGAAACTGTCCTTTTCAGTGCGAAGCGTGGAGAGGGCAGAGCAGGACAGTGTAGAGATAAGGGAGGAAAGGGTGGTAGAGCATGGGAGTGGTGAGCATGGGAGTGGCTGAGAACAGTTTATGTTACTATTTATTGAACAGATCGAAGATTTTCTTTGTCTAGGCTAGGTGCTGTGGGTTCCCCTACTCTGATATTGAGTCTGAGACATCTTCTGTGCATGTAGATGATAAACAGTGACTAGGTGTATGGTCGGACGTTCAGTTTATGAAACAAAATAGATTCCCACGGTTCATTGCCAGTAGATGAAAGATTGTCAGAAAATCTAGCAGTCTTAAAATTCAGCAACTGAAGAAAAGAAGATGCTAGAGATAAATTATAAGGTACCTAAGCTATAAGGGTTGGACTGACTTACTGTTATTTTTAAAGAAAGTATTTGTGGCCAAAAGGATCATAATGGATCTGATGAAAGAGGATTTCTAAAAGAAATACTGCTGCTGCTCAATTTAGGTTTGCCAGCAATAATTAATTGCATTAGTAATTGTTTTCTTTTTCTGAATACACAGGAGATTTAGACCACTATTGCAGTTCTTATGAAATCTAGTTCTTCCATTTATTCATTAGTAAATATTAGCTCACAAATGCTGATAAATAGCTCCCCTCTCAGTCATCTGATTTGCTACTTGCAAATGGCAGTTTACATTGTTGAGACCCAGCAATTCCAACAATGTTATCACTCGAGTGCAAGCAGCCTGCGAATTTTTAGAGGCTGCCTCAGACAGGCCAGCATGTATGGGAGTCTGTTCTTGTTCCCTGCTAATAAATGCTTCTTTGCCTGTAATTGTGGCAGAATGGAAACTGTGCTTAGGAGCTTAGCTGTGAGACTGCAGCAAATGGCTCCAACCTATGTTTAATGTACTGACACTAATGAATTCTGAGAATTAATTTTCAGCTAAGAAAGCATGATGGAGGATACTAGAATTTCAAATTAGGTGTTGGATTGACTTTCCTCAAGGCCAACATGTAAAATGTTTGTTTCATTTTCATTCTGGACTTGCTTAGGCTTGACATTTTATATCCTAAAAATAACAGACCAGATATGGCCATTATTTTCATCATATGTCATATAAAACCCATCAATTTGTCCGGTGCAAGACATTCTCACAACTTAAGGCTTTTTTTTTTTTTTTTTTCCCCCCCCCCACATATTTTTCATTGGCCAAACAATTTGGTTTTGTTTGCAGCTGCACTGCATTTCTTATTTTTATATATAATTACACCGTGGTTGATGTTTGAAAGTGCCTAATCTAACTGTCCAAGTTGATCTTAAATGTGTGTTCAGATGAGCATATAATGATATTTTAGTTTTCTCCTTTCCTCAGACATGAGGAAAACTCCTCAGCACCCTGCTGCTTCTCTGCTTGGGCTCAACATTGATGTTAATTAATACTAACTTTTGCTGCAGGACAGTAGAGTGTCAACTCTGCTACCAGTGCAGAAGGTAATACCTCACTAAACATTGGAAGTGATTCCGGGAGCCTGATAACTTCATTTTTCTCACTTGTACATAGGTGGTGGTCCAAGAACATTAGCTAAGAACAGCTGTATGCATTCAGTGTGCCATTTGGCACAGTTCAGTTGAAGTGGCTGGGCACAGAAGCAGGGTATTCCTTGGAGTGCTTGTCTATATAGAGAAGAAATATGAATATGTACCAAAAGGAGAAACGTAAGGAGAAACACGTGGTCCCACCTGCGCTGAGCCTCAGCAGACCAAACCAGTGTTGATTGTGTAAGTGTGCACAGAGCCTGGAGATAGCTGGTCAAGTGCTGTGACTAAGCTGGGTGCTGGTGACGAGTCTTAGGATGTAATAAGGAGTAATTCCATAATTGGTCAGGTCAACACTTCCGTTCTGCTTTGGGGCAAAAAGGAGTGTGTTAATCTATATACACTTTCATTCCCTGTGGCCTGTGTTCTTTCTGCTGCTGTCTTCCTCATGTGCTAGGAACTTGCTGTTTAATTGTATGGATTAAACTAACTTCAGTGGAGATTTGCATTCTTCTGGCAGTCTCTTCTCTGAAGTACCTTATTGCCCAAGAAAGAAGGTTGCATATGGATAAAAGGATATGTGAAATTCTTTTGGAGTTGTAAAGCTGAGGAGTAGCACACATGGGAAGTGAATAAACAGAGGGCAGAATAAACAGATTGGCGACAGAAGGGCACCTTGGGCAACCTTCTCCCTCGCAGAACTTACCTTTGCCCATTAAAATACATGGCAGTCCTAAACAGGTTGCAGGTCAGCATGCAATGGATAAGCCAGTAGAATGTTTTCCCTTCTTGTCAGACTTTCTCAATGATTTCAGGATCCTGGATATCTCTGTATTTCACCTATGCAACATATATGTGTATACTTATTGCAAGTACCTGAGGGGAGAATGTAGGGAGGATGGGGCCAAACTCTTCTCCGTGGTGGCCGGTGACAGGACAAGGGGTAATGGGTACAAGTTGAAACACAGGAAGTTCCATCTGCATGGGAGGAAAAACTTCTTTCCTGTGAGGGTGACAGAGCCCTGGCACAGGCTGCCCAGAGAGGTTGTGGAGTCTCCTTCTCTGGAGATCTTCCAAACCTGTCTGGATGCCACCGTGCCATGTGCTCTAGGTGTCCCTGCTGGAGCAGGGGGGTTGGACTAGATGATCTCTAGAGGTCCCTTCCAACCTCAACCCTTCTGTGAATCTGGATCTTGTCAGTAGAGCATCACTGTAGGTCCACTGGTCTTCCAAATTTATTTAAATATCTTTGCACCACAAGGCAAAAGCTTTTCATGTTCTTAGCACTTTAGGTAAACACTGGCTATTCTGTGTGGAATCGAGTAATCTAGAGATTCCATCCAAAATCTAGTGATTTTATTGTCTTAAAAAGTAGCTGTAATGACCTATCTTCACTTCCCAGATGTATTCAAATGTAACAGGAATAGTTACATATTAAGAATATAGCATGCATAATACTCTATGTAATTTGTAACTACTGTATGTAATTTGTGATTACTGTTAAAGAGGTAAAAGAAATCCACGAGTTAAGAGCTTTTCAGAAGGAAATCTCCACTTAAGACACTTGCCGTCAATCCGTAATTCTATATACAGCCCAGAATTTTTTTTTTTCCTTTTCAGATTAATGGTGTCTCTCCTTTCACATGCTTCTTGCCTTTTTTTTTAGGAAACAAATACTGCGAGGATTGGCATGTACCATAGTGTACGTGTGGATGTATTGACTTTTAGAAAACAAGGATAACAAAAGAAAAAGGGGGGAGGTCAGAATCTGCGAAAGGCTGATGATGGATTTCTTTCCATGGGAGGGCAGGGGTGGTATTTATGGCCTTGTGCTCACAGGAATGGAGATAATGCAGGTTCTGTTGGTTTAGTTTTTCTGTCAGGAGGCACCAGTTCTAACTGAGAGCAAAATTAACTATAATAGATCTAAAACCTGTGGCATGTTTTGCTGTCTTTTCTGGGTGTGATGTAGCGGGAAAAGGCTGGGAAAATGGTCTTCAAGAACCTAACATATTCAAGTTAAGTCCAAAGATATTGCAGGATCATTTTAAGAACAGAGCTTAGCCGTCAGTGAAATGTTTAAGGTGAGCCTGAGCTTTAATTGCTGCTAATGTGTTTGATAATTTTGGAAATCTGTAAATGTGTATGATACTTTAGAGATAATTTAAAGTTTGCAAAATCTTAATTGCTATTGATACTGTCAACATTACTGTAAAAGGCACTGAATTTTTACTGATAAAGATAATCTTTATTTGTGATTTGTGTCCCATGTTAAGGAAGAATTTTACGTATATGTATATGTACAATAACTGTGTCAATATTAGTAAATATGAAATGTAATTGTGAAGTATGTTATTATGAATGCTTCTCATTCTCATATAAACTCATCTTGGGCTGCAAAATGGAGATATATATTGAATTGCACCTTTCTTTTTCATGTTCTCAAAGAATTTCAATTATTCTTTTGAGTAAGATAAATTAAAGAGAAATTGGAGGAGACAACTGAAGAGCTTTTATCCCATTAAATCACTTTTCTGTTTGTAATGTATTATTTCTGATTTATTGTACAGAAAATAATTATACTTTAATATTGACCTCCACAGTTTTAAATCTTGATTATACAAATTGACATGACACTTTATTTTGTCCTAATAAATAGAATGTCTCTCTTTATTACTAGATCACCTGTCCCTATCACAAACAGAACTTTGTTACCCTGGCCAGCATTTAAATCCCTGCTTACTTATTTCTATTCTACTCTGAATTATGTGGGCTTGCAGAATTTTCTGTGATCCTTACATTGCCACTTATCATTACAGTGTATAAGAACTAGCAGAAACATTGATATTAAAACAGAACAAAGCTGTTCCATGTTCTTCTGGCTAGTGTTGCCTCACAAATGTCGCTTGTGTTTTTCATTAGGCTGTGTTCTGCAGTTCTTGTTCAAAATGCTTATTGGAAAAACACTAGAAAAATACACTGAGTGAGATACTGCTTGTTGGTCTCTGGCTATGTTTAATGTATATTAAATGTAGAGCAGTTAGAAGATGTCTTTTTTATGGTAAACTAGATTGAAGTAAGTTTACTGGCTCAAATTCATGCACTTTATAGTAGTGTGGTTGTATAGTGAATATGCTTAGTTAAGTACCTGTGCCAAATTTATTGCACTGTAATGGAAAAGTAAATATAGTTCCTTTGAGTGCTGAGGAACTCAAGTTTGTGGGAAAAGAATCAACAAGAAACAACTACACAGTAGGCTAAGTCAAATCATGCTGTAATTGAATATCATTGCTCCCAGACCACTCTTTCTCTGTCATAGGTGTCTTATTAAGGACTTTGAAAAGCGTCCTTCAGTCACCCACCTTTTGGAACATCCATTTATTAAACAAGTACATGGTAAAGATATGTCTCTGCAAAAACAGCTGGCTGAGCTCATCCAAGAACAGCAGCAGCTGGGCTCTGTAGCCAAAACAAGGTACTGTACACTGTATATTCTTCAACCTTCCCTTTCTACACTTACCCTGGAAGCACAGTTTGTAATTTGGAATGCACAAATATTTACTGTTTCATATGCTTATATGGAGGCATTAATTAGATACTGTGAGTATCTAATAAATATGGAATATTAAATATAAAGAGGCTATGCAATCATAGAATCATAGAATGCTTAAGATTGGAAGGCACCTCTAGAGGTCATCTAGTCCAACTCCCCTGCTTAGGGAATGGTGTTTTCCACATACACAGGTCAGCAGTCAGGTTGAGAAAAGATTGCAAGAAACATGGTGTGTAGCAAGCGATTCTTTCTCTCATGCAAATTCTTGGTTTCCAGAAATCAGAACTGAGAACTTTGAAGAGTATTTTCTCTAGGTAAACACTAAGAATAATTGTCTTCTCTGAAGTTTAATAAGAACTACCATTTCTTACACAACCTAAAAAGTAATTTCAAAAATGCTTGAAAAGTTGTGATTGTTCAACAGTGTCAGAAGGTATTTTTCACTTTAGGGGCTGATTGTAAATATGTTTTATTTTGATTGTTGTCCAGAGGGTGGCAGAATTTCACTGTTTTGAAATAGAATTAAATGCAAATGAACACAAGGTCCCGAGCTCAGCAATCATTCTCTGATACGAAATCTTTGTAGTGCAAGATGAGGTCTGACTCGTTATTATAAACAAACACCTACTAATGTTGATGAAGAAAATTAAATGTCGTGATTCAGAAGTCATAACATGTATATACTTATATGTTTTAAGAGTCTAGCCTAAATGGTCAAAGCCCCCTGCAGAATGCTAAAGTTAAATATAGGAATGGCTGCAAGTACAGTTTCAAGCTGAAGATGATTTCTCCGTTTTTTGTTTTGTGTGTGTGTGTGTGCTTTCTTTGCTAAATATGTCCCAGTTACCCTGGAAGATTTTGTTGCACCTTGTCTTCTACGCAGATCTCCTCCACGTAATGCCTCACAGATTGGATTGCATACAGCTGTGGGTTGGATGGGGAGAAAGGTATCTGAGTTTTCCCAGCTGTTGACCATATAGAAAATCTACACAGAGTGAAATGATCCTTGTACTAAGAGGAGCTCTGAAATGTATTTCTCCTCATGGTTCTGTCTCCATAATTTGGGGTGAGCAGGACTCAAGACCAAGCCTGCATTTCTTTCCTCAACCCTTTCCATAACAAGTAGGGAGTGCAGTGCTAGGCAGGTGGCTCGCCTGTGCTAATGCAGGACTGGTGCAAGGGGAGGGATTTTGCTTCCCACCACCTCCAGTACGACTCAGTGCTTACCTAATGGAGGCTGAACCTGTCCGTCCTGTCACCCCTTAACCTGTCTCACCTCGCTGTTCTTCACCAGCAGTGGTGATTTGCAGAGTGGTACAATACCACCCGCAGCCTGCAGGTTTGAAGAAGACTCTATTCCTCTGCCTAGTCCTGTTATTGTCTGTATTCTGCATGGCCAACTAGCACCATGTTCCTTTTCTCGGTGCCTTATCTCACCAATCAGTCTCCACTGCTCATTTTCTTTAACCGCAAGGCCTTGTTCTCCTCCTAGACCCAGTTGTTGTTCTACTTCTGGCCTTCCAGTTGCTTATGTTCCCAGGCTTCCTTTTCTTCAGGAAGTCCTAATCCAGGTTCTTCTCTTTTTCAAATCATTTATCTATTCCTGTTGTTCCTCACTAGATGCATGTTTTTTTTTTTTTTTATCACCACTGAGTTCACTTTTTGATTTCAATTGATACCTAAGTCACAGACTTATCAACCTATCAGACCTATCAGGAGTGTATAATTATAATTTTTATCAGAGAGATAGACTCATAATAGTAAAGAGCTTGGCTCCATAATATGGAGAAAGTACCCCCTATAAAAAGTGGTATTAATAAAGAGAGCATAAAAAAACTCTCTGATGTTTTTATAAAATAATTTTTAGTACAGAATTTGATATGCAGAACAACATGACCAGGTGGTACTGTGAAGAAATTTTTTGGCATTCATTTGTAGTGATCCCCGGAAGTCATTTGGAATGTATAGTCACCATTCTAAGTAAATTGGCCGTTTAGTTAAACCTTTATACCGTACTTCTGAATATATGAGCATGCTCTTTTTCTGGGTATTGCTATTCACCTGACAGGTACAAGAAAAAGTGCATTAATCCTTTGCTGTTCTGAGATATATGTTAACATAAAAATGTGGATGCCATTTTTAATAGTATAGCAACACTATAGATCAGTCATGATCTGTGATCATGATATAGATAAGTAAAGGAATATCTTCTCCCATTTACCCTGTCATATGGTGTGGAAGTCCTAGAGGACAGGCTGAAAAGCTCTAGAGTCAGGACAACGCTGTTAACAGCACTTGTGTAGTGAAGAAAACCGGGAACTCATGAAGTGATCCCTGAGTGCTTTGCATTTGCATCTTCCGGTTCTTTACTGAGTCAGCCTTTGCGTGTACTTTATAGGAATCTCTACCCGGTGTCTACTTCAGTCTATTTTGGGCACTTGGTTAAGATCATTGTGCTTGAGAGCAAGCATGCAGGATAGGAATTCAGTCCTGCTGACTTAGAGATGTTATGTGCTTGCTTATGATTCATACTGTTGCTCTGCAATGTACTCAACAGGAACTGGAAGCAGGCTGGTGAAAGGAAAAGAGGAAGATACCAGCTGTACCAACAATTACTGTTTACTGGTTGCATTATTTGTCTGCCAGCGTTGTGAGCTGGTCAGCTCAGGGGAAGGAGTGCAGCAGCAAAAGAGACCAAATCTCTCAGTTTGATGTGATCCACTTTTTCTAACCATGCCTTTACTTAGAAGAAAAGCTCTGAGGAGGCAGGATATAAAATCACTTTGCCCCTGTTGGGTGACAGATACGTTGAGGCTGTTTAAATGGCATAGTTATTTTTGTGGCCTGACCACACTATATGCAAAGGTGTGACTGCAGGATGCCAAGCAGTATGACTTAGTCTAAGCTATTTATCCAGGCATTTATCCAGCTTTGACAGAATTCGTCTTGGTTTACCTCAATGAAGGTATACTCAGATTTATTTAAATTTATTCATGACTAAATTTTCTCTTATTAAGAATTTAAGGGTGCTACTGGGGAAAAATGGGCTGTACAAGCCAATGTAAGCATCTTTGTTTTTATTTTTTGGGATTTAGATAATATGTGCATAAAGGGCTGAGCCAGCAGTTGAGCGCAAGTTCTAGGTAGTGCAGTGGAAAGGAGTACAGTACACAGGTATTGCTGAGCCACTTCGCCAGCTTCCAGGTTCCCAAGCAAGTTCAAGTTAGCTTCTGTTCCATAAAGCACCTAACATACCTTTGGTTATTGCAGACCTGTTCTTGAGGAGAAAAATGCATAGCACCTGAAACTCTAGCCATTTTTTGTGCCACTCTTTCTGTCCCAAAGGCTGGAAAGACTCTGGGTCAAGATGCATTGTAGTGTGGTTATTGTTCTTGCTTTTAAGCATTTTGCTTTTAAGCAAATTAGGGATTTGCTTTATTTCTGTAGATAATAGTTTTGTTAAACAGTGTTTGGGTATGGTGGAATAATCAACTAAGGGAGATTGTAAAAAGAGCTCTTCTGAACATATTTTTCAATCTCTTGAACTCGTTTTTGTGGTCAGTTGCTTTTTTGATTCATAGTGCAAGAGATTCTGGCATCCAGGCTGATTGCCAGCCTGTTGAAGGAAGAAGTCATATGGGGCTTAGTCTGTTTCCTAATATTTCTAAATGTTAAATGACACTGTGCTGACTCCATTGGCAAAGTGTACTGCAGAAAGGGGGCATGGTCCCTGAAGTTTATTTATAAATCCAGTCAAATACTGGGTTAAATCTTTTTATGCTTGTCAGAACTTAATTCAAACATGGCAAAGCCGGCAGTTGGCTCAGTGTTTAAGCAGTGGGAAAAAAATTATATATAATATTTCACAGATAATGTTTAGGGGAGATCATGGAGATTATAATGGAAATATTTAAAAGGAAACTCAAATTTGGAACCCCAATAATCCAGCCATTCTTCTAGTCTTTCCTTACATAAATTTCTTGCATCCTGCTTCAAGGATTATCCAAAATGCAAACATTCTATGTTGTTTCATCAAAAACAAACAAAACTTGTGAATGGTTTGTGAGTAGGATTAATGTAAAAATGTAATTATTTTTAATGTGTAACTGAAAGTTTGAAAAGTATCAACAATCAGTAAAAGTGAATGAAATGAATGGAAATATTTCTGTTTTTTTTTTTCTTTTCTTTTCTTTTTTTTTACTTGACTGTTCAACAATTAAAAAGACATCAGTTTATCAGTAACCTGAAAATACTAAGTCCCTGTATCCAATAATCAGGAGAAAATCTAAAAAGGCAAAGTCACAGCATTGTATGGTATGGAGAAATTCAAATGTAATAGCAGATCTGTTTCTGTCTTTGGAGTGGAGGAGGAGCAGAACATCAGGAAGGAAAATAAGCCATTAAAAGCTAAGAAATGTGAGAGAAAAGTCTACCATATGCAGTCTAAGAATGTTGCCTCGGTGACATTCTCTGGAGCCATCATTGAAAGTTTTAGATACTCTTGTGATTGAAAAATATCTCATGGAGGTCCAAATACAAAGTGTCTGAAGAGAACTTTAGAGTATGTGTTGTAGATTTTTTTCTGGTACTAGAAGATGAAAAAGTTTCGGATATCATTTCTAGTGTAGGTGTTAATTATATTTCATTTGTATGTCCCTCTGTGGTATTAACCTGCTCCAGGGGCAGTGAATGTGGGTAAGCTTTGCCAAATGCAGTGGATAAGTCTATAGTAATTGTAATATAGCAAAAAGATGATAATAACGATCAGTTGACATCTGCCTTTATTTTATATTTTATACCTGTCTATCAAGTTATCACTGTAGCTTAAGTTGAGCAAAACCACGGTCTTCCATATTTCCTCAAGTGATTAATAACTAATTTCTCATCTAAAATTCCCATAATTGAGCTGGTGTTTGGAAGTTAACGTTGATCAAATATCAAATGGTTTTGGTTATAGTTGCTGTTTCCCAGTTATCAGCAGCTTTGAAGAGGCCAACTCCAGACGTGACTCATTCTTCTCTCAAAGATTTTCCTGCAGTCGGGGTAGCTTATGTTCTTCTCTAGAAATAGTTTTCTTGGGAATAAACAAGAAAAGCTCTTCTACCAACCTCTGGTTTCAGTTTTTTAAAGTGTGAGAAAACTTCTGGTGTTTGGGTCAACAAGTTTGTAAACAAGTTTACTGTGTACAGTAAAAGTTAGGAGTTTACTGTTCCAGGCCATTCTGGGCCAATGTGCCACTGCTGGTCGCTGTTTAGAAGCTGGTTCCTGTAATGAGGAACAGGTCGTGTAAGACCTGGTATGTTCAGGCCACCTCGTCAGACACCTGGGTGAGGCTGTGGTGCCCGGGCAGTTTTTCCCTTCCCTTAGCCAGCTGGATTACAGTAGCAGTCTGTCCAAGGAAGTAATTCTTACAAACAGATATGCAGCAGCTTTGCCAGCTCACATTTAGCTTTGAAGCAATTAACTGCAAGGAACTTGATTGCAGACAGCCAGTAATTTCCTTTGGACTCAGAGATAATAACAGTAACAGAAACAAAAATAGTCCTCTGATTGTAAAATGCTGAACACTCAGGATTTAATGTGGGCTAAGTACAATTCTTCTGCGTGAATATCAGGGGACTTTGGTTTAAATTTCAAAAACCCTCAAAGCTAATGCGATCCCGAGATCCTTTTTTTTTTGTCTTGTTACAGTGTACATGTTCTCACTGGAGGTTATACAGATTTTATTATGGTTGCAGCAGTTATATTGTTGCAATTAAGGTTATGTCAATGTTTCTGTTATGATCTTTAAAGTTTTATTCCAGGCTGAAATGGGATGGTGAATATTTTGCTCCTGTCCATTTGCAATGCACAGGAAAGAGGCCATGCTTCCCTGATATGTCAATAGCAAATTTTCCACTAATTGTTCTTGTTGTGTTAAATCTCAATTTGGCTACAATGCTGTCTTCTCCTAAACAATAGTAATAATGTAAAGAAGAATGAAGAATGTGTACATGAATGCAGAAACTGTTTTTTTTTTTTTTGCTCTCTGTGAATCCCAGAAAAACAAAACAAAAAAGAGTAAACATCAAATATTTAATTGCAGCAAGAAGCCAAAGTAAAGGTTCCCTTCTAGAGAAATGTTAGGGGTGAAAGGGAGAGAGCTGAGGAAGAAGACTTCCCAGTTAACATAAAATACTTGGCTAGCATTGCCTTATTCCTTGAGCTGGACCGCCCAGCAAGATGACTTTCCTGTACGGAAGTATGTATTAGTATGTATTTAGATTTTCACTCACCAGAAGTTGACTAAGGCTTCCTAAGTACTCCTGTTGCTCTGAGAGTTCATTTTGCCATGAACTTCCCCTCTGAGCAGACCTGACTTCCTGTGGAGCTCAGCAGAACTTGATGGCAAAAGGAAGATAGGACCAAACTTCCATGTCAAGTAAACGCAAGGCGCAACATCTTCAGCTTGATAGCAGGGTCATGGAGGGGAGGGCAAGCTGGAAAGCTGCGAAAATATACAGGGCAGAAGTGGAAGTGAGGATGGAGGATGTATGTCAGTGTTTTATGCATACTGCTGTTGGCAGTGCGCTTCCATTACTATGACTGGCATTCAGTACAAAGAAAAAGATCATTTCAAACTATTTCCTCCCCAGAAAGAGAACAAATCAATGCTGCCCTCTTCATGAAGTTCTTTTTCCTGAGGAAGAAATGCATCTCCCCTCTTGCTGCTCCTCTAAAATCCAAGAAAGTTTTGTCCCTCCTCAGTATTTCTGCCAGGTAAACAGGTGAGGGGATAGTGGTCGTGTGGGCAAAACATTTCTTAAAAGACAGTGCTCATCGCCAGACTTTTACCATAAATCCATTACTACTCTTTAGGTTTTATAATGTTACGTACCTTGACTGACTGACCCATTAGGCTCCTTGTCAGTGGAGAGACCGCATCCTCCAGGGGATGATTCAGAACATTACAAGATAGGCAAATAACCCACATCTTTTATCATTTTGTCTGGAATATGGACATTTTTATAGATTATTACAAAGAGAAGGGTAATTGTTAAAGGCTGTCAATTCTGCTTTTCTATGCAGAAAGAATTATACTGATAGTTATTTCCACAGTAAGGAATGTTTGCTTCTGCATAAAATAAATATATGTATATATATATATATGTGTATATATATATATATACACACAGAAAATATTTTAAAAGCAAGAGCATGCATATGATGTAAAACTGTGAAAAATAATAATCATTACTACCTGTATTCTCCCTACTCGTCAACATATCTGCAGGACATACGGTCAATAGAAAACTGATGAGGCCAGCAGGAGATTTGAAGCTAATGTGATGTTATGCTCCTAATATCCTCTTCCTAATCATGTACTTAGGAAAATGAGTTAAGCACAAGAAAGTATACAGAACAGTATCTATATTTTACTTATATCTGACCAAGACTAGTTTCCTTAATTATTTATTTAAACAAGGTTAAGCTCTCCAGTAACAAAATTGATTCATTTATCACCTAAGGAGAACAAACAGCAGGAGTTGAATACACAATCAGATAACAGATTAGTTTACAAAGCCATTTTGCAATTAGAGATGCTTAGGTTTGAATGTGTCCCCTTCCCCCTACTCTCTGCACCTCTGGTAGATGCAACCATACATACTTGCAGCCAATGACAATTTAATATTGGGCTTGTGATGGTTTAGTTTAGGAAGAAATAGCTTCTGCAATGAGTATGTTAGTTATAACGTCTAGCTATTGCTATTAAAATATTTGCTTCCTTTGTGGACTGATGGATGTTCCCATCTGCAGCAACATTCTTCTCTGCAACTGAGAATCCTTTTTGAATCCTGGTTTAAACCAGGAACAGATATAAAAAGAAAAGTAGTATGTTACACCACTTCCACAGTGTCATACTGCCTAAGGTTCTGGCTGGTCAGCAAAATGCCATTTTTCTCAGTACAGTTGCTGGTTTAAAAAAAAAAAAAAAAAAAAAGAAAAGAGAAACACCTAAACAAATATCTGAAAAAATTAATTGACAGAACTTGAACAAATTCACATTACACTCCCCCCTGGAAATAATACGTATTGTAATAATTTTTCTTCCATTCCTTCCTGTTTGTGTTCTTCATCTTTCATTTCTTTCTATATGCAGCATCAAAGAAGCAACCATTTCTGTTCAGGAATGCAGGATATAAGACAGGGCAGGCCTGTCAGCAAAACCTCTGTGTTATCTGTATTTTATTTCCTAGCTGACAAAACAGTTTACAGTTTAATCACAATTCAAATAAGCCATTACAGAATAGTTTTCCAGAACTCATACCATAGCCAAAAGTAAACAAGAAGTAAATAAAAATAGACATCAAGAATGAGAATCCCTAAATGTAATTTAGTTATCAATGAAAGTCTAGACATAGTTGACACTCCTCCTCTTTCCTCTTTGTTAGAGGGTTTCTGAGCAATAATTGCTCTTTATGTGGTGATATAATTGCATGTGGATAGGAAAATATTATCTTTACTGAATGAAATCTAACTTGATTGAAATGTAAATGCATGAAAAGTGTTAAAAAAGAAAGAATTCAATGTTTGTTTTTGAAATAGGCTTCCATGAGTATATATCAAGTTGTGGTTGGAATAGGAAAAAAAAAAAAAAAAAAAAGAAGAAGAGGAGCTGCAGCATGTTCATGTTAACCTTCTCCTTGTAGAATAACAGTATTTCCTGCAGTGTTCTGGTAACGTCCCAGTGTTGCTTGACATAATATTTAGCATTGGTTCTGCATGCATGGTCATGTGATCCCTACTTTCTATGTGGCAGCCAGTGCAGAACAAGCTGTCAGGGACTGTCACTGAGGATCAATGCTAAATGTTACTCAGCAGGATGCAGGCTGTGTCTCGGTGGGTGTCCTTCCACTGTGCTTTGATTATGTTTGCTGTAAAGAAGAGCATAGTTGTGCTTACAGCCTTCACATTTCACCCCCTCTGTGGAAGATACATTATACGCTTTTGATTTGTCCCTGTTTCTTCCTGAAACAAGATATGTTGTTTAAAAACATATACACAGCATTTTCAGAGATTCCTTCAGTATAATCTGATTATAAAGGGGTTATGTGACAGTTTGTCTCTGCTACTTATTGTGTGGCTTAAATCTCTGAGGACAAGCAGACTGAACATCCATACAATTTAGAGTCTGATGGCAGTCATGGTTCAAAAGTGTTCTTTTGGACCAGATCTAGGGTCATCTGAGGAGACACTTTGGCATGCACCAAGGTAACGGGATACTACTTATTACTTGTTGTAGCCTCAATAGATGGTAATGCTAAAGGGTGAGGGGAATTTAATTACAAGAAGTGGTACATTATTAGCTTCTATCAGTAAGGGAAGGGGAAACAGGAAGACTTTTTTTTATATACCTTTCTGTAGGAAATAGCAAGTCTGCAGGTAAATTTTCATTTCTGAACATTGATAGATCAGAATTACATATTATGAAAGAGAAAACAGGGATAGTACACTCAAAAAGTCCATATAGAGATTTTATAAAATGATATTTCAAACAGATATATTTGAGAATGCACCTGTATTTTCTGCATGAAAAAGACATCCACTAATGTCTTCTCATTGCCTCTTCTATTGCCTTCCTTGAGGTGGTTTTATAACACTGTTGTCTGTGCTGGTCGTCTAACTTCCAGGCATGAACGAATGCATACTAGAAGACCTTACCATGTGGATGGAGCTGACAAGTACTCACTAGATGATGATCTGGTAAATCTAGAGGTGCTAGATGAGGTACTGTACCATCTAAGTAACAATTTCTGGCAATTAATGCCTCACATTTTGTCCATTTCCGCTTTTTAGGCTCTTTTAACAGCAAGAAGAATTTCTTCTCACGAAGTTCATGTTGAAGCTTGGAAAAGGAACTGTCATATTCTGCTATCATCTCTTCAATAATATTCTACATAGTGACATGAAAACAGTAGCAAAAAATCCTATTATGTGGAAGAATTTAATTATGAGTAGTGTCAATTTAAATTATTTTGTGAATTTCCTAAAATTTGAATTTAGTCTTGAAGATCTAGCTTTAAGTATTTCTTTTCCTACAATTCATGGCATCTACATGTAGATGGCCTTTACAGCTTCTGAATAAAAACAGTGGTAAACCAATGAATACCTGGCCTGTGGGCAGCGTGTCTGAATTTCTGCCCTTTAAATTGTATTCCAGCAAACAAAAGATATGATTAAAAAAAAGTAAGCTTTATGCTTAAAATCTCTTAACTATCACTTTAAAATTAATCCTTGAAATATCGTTATTTCATGAGTCAATAAAAAATTAAGTTGAAGCATACAGTGAAGTGTAGCAGTAATCTGTATGGACATTTTCTCTTTGGGAATCTTACTTCTCTGGTCTGTACAGCTAAATATACTAATTTGGAAATAGGATATAACATCTAACTTAGGTTTACAGTATTAGCAAGAATTTTGAAAAGATTTCTTAGATTTTTGTAATGGCCATGTTTGACAAATAATTAATAAGGCTTGCAACAATTACTTCTTAATTGTTACTCACAAAAACTCTCCCCATCTTAACTACTAAAACTCTTTTTTGTCATATTCTTAGGATACAATTATCCATCAGCTGCAGAAACGTTATGCCGACTTTCAAATTTATACTTATGTCGGAGACATTTTAATAGCCTTAAACCCCTTCCAGAATCTCAGCATTTATTCTCCACAGGTAAGAGAGACTGCAAGACTTGGACAGTACTTGCCTTACATTTTATAATAAAACCACTGGCTGATATCCTTAAATGATGTTGGGAGCTGAGAGCAGGAACTAAAACTTAGCCTTTATTTCTTCCAGACAAGCGTCACAACAAATCATATTCCTTCCTCCTTCCCTCCCTTTTTGGTCTCGTTCCTCACAGGAGGGATGAAGATTGTCCCAACTGCACTTGTGCCCTTGTCTGGCATCTGGGGCATTCTCCTGGGAAACTGCAGATTAGTTGCATGAGCCACCTTGTGCTGAGGCCATTGCTTCCTGAAGAATTGCTCCGAATGTTGGCTTATTATGTTCTCTGCCATCAGCTGCTTAAAAGAAAAAGAAAAAAAAAGAAAAGAAAAAAAAAACTGAAACAAATCCTCACACATAGAGGGAGAAGGGAGGCGGAGCCAGTCTCAGTTTCCCATGGGTGACTAATTCAGCATTGCAGGCAGAGAGACGCGATTTTAGATTCACTGCTGTCTTTGTAGTTTCCTTTTGTGTAGTTCAGATATTTTACTGTTTGAATGTTCCATGTTTGAAATCCTATTCCTTGTAATATAGTTCTCATCTCAGTCTTGCGCATAAAAATTTGGGGTACGTTTTAGGTTTCATAATTTGCGTTCGGAAATTAAATAGTGCCCGAGTTACAACTCTTTAGCCAGGTGATTCAGTGGGAATTCTGTGGTAGAAGTGAACTGTCTTCTGTTTAATAGGCAGAAGTTATTTCCATTGTACTGTTCCTCTTCTCAGTTCTTAATTTTACATGTGACTTGGGTATTCTGACATTTTCCTTTTACTTATTTAGTTCTCCAAGCTTTATCATGGTGTGAAGCGTTCATCCAATCCCCCACACATATTTGCCTCTGCGGATGCTGCCTATCAAAGTATGGTTACCTCCAGCAAAGATCAGGTAAGAATCCATTCACTTCTTTTAGATTTTACATTAATCATAGAGACGTCGTGCTGTGTGTGTCTGATGTTCAGTTTTACATTGTACTTGGGAAACTTCTTTCTGTAAGTCTTTTATTCCTATATCGGGGGGGGGGGGGGGGGGGAAAAACCCCAACCCAACCAAACAAATGAAAAAGCAGTAAAAATCCAGTCAGGCTTAGAAATTTTTAAGAGGACAGAGTAACATAAAAGAAATTAAAAGGGCAAAGGCTATTCTAGGATTACTTGGCATGATTTCATGGATGCCTGTGAAGTGCTGGTCGTTAAGGCCAACTGCCTGTCACTGCTGTTCACCCTAATACTGATCCCCCTTGTCCTTGGTACTGTCATCATTTACTGTGGTGTGGAACAGAGGGTCTCAGTGCTGTTGCTGATAAATGGAGTTTCAACCCCTCTTTTGCATAAAGGTGTTATCAAGCAGTGGATAATCAGTTCTTGTGACTGCAAGTCACAGAAAATATGAACCATTGACTTTGTGTTCACTTATTTTTGTGGTAAAATATATTAAGGGTAGTTCTAATATAAAGTAATGAGGACACAAATCCAATTATATACCAATGATTTTAATGCCAATGGAATACAGTGCTGCAGAAGCTGGATTCCTTTTTATAATATTTTTAAGATTGCAATTTTGTTCTCTTCTCAACATATGTTATATATGTGTATATATATACACATGGATATTGGGAGCTAATAGTCATTTCATTTATAAAGTACTTCTGTGATATTTCCCCACATACCACACAATGATTCATAGATAATGTATTTTAAAATCACAAAAGCAGATGAAAATAATACCAAAACCACACTGAGAAAATACCATACAAACACAACTAATAAAATGGAAGTTAAATCTGAAGAAAGATAAAGGGATTCGACTGAGTTTGCAAAAGTTTGCTGCTCTGAGGTATGGCTGGTACATATGTAAGTCTTACATGGCCTTTGATGGAGACATTAAGCAAAACAAAAACTCATGTAGTATAAATTACATGATAACTTGCTATCTGCGGGAAAAAGATCAGTTTTAACATGAGCCCTTCGGGCTAATTTTGTAGATTTTTAATATTATATATCTTCAATACTTGCTTAAGAATTAATTTGCACTGAGATCTTTGTGCAGAGGCAGCTAATTAGTTGCAGGCATTCAGGTATGCCTGTTAGCATGTACAATTTGCTATTTTATGTTTCTGAAAGATAACAGTAGCATGTTTATCTTGGTGAACTGGGCTGTTTTATGTTGGTACTTTAGTAAAAAGGGAAAGATGCTCTTGAATCTGTTTAGCTTTTCTTTTGTTTTCTTGTGAAAGCCTGAAATGTGACTGCACACATGACATTTTTGCTAAAGCTGAAGTCAGATTTTGGCCATTATGAGTTCTGCAGAAACATATGAGCTCTTTGATTTTTGAACTGTTGTACTGCTAAACATCCTCAGTTGCACAGAGACAACTAAATTAACTGTGAAAACCTGTAAATCCATCACTAGATATCTGCAAGGAAGAACAAAACTGCCGAACAAGAAGCAAATAAATGAACTGTAGTGTCATATTGCACATATTGTGTTAGAGTAAATTCCTGCACCTGCTCTCAGGCACTGCAAGTTGCCTGGTGTCCAAGAATGTTGCACAGCAATATTCATTGTGGAGCATAAAGTACAGTGATATCTGATGTATTCAGTAATTATTCTATGTTTTTATAGTGTTTCTTGTAACTTACCTCTCCCCCTTTTCTACTGCTGTTCGTGGAAGAGCAGAAGTTGCTCTTGGAAGTAAAGTTGATAATGAGGAATGGAAAATGAAAAGAATTAAATACCTAAAGGAATTGCAGGCTGGGGAGGGAAGAATGGATAATCTCTCTCCTGGGGATGTACAGTTATCAGAAATGTTGTGCAGAGAACCACTGCTTGTTTTGAGTCTTTTCACAAAGCTCAGTTATGTCACCTTACTTGGAAAAAAAAATCAAAAAAAAAATCTGTATACTGAATTTGGTGGTTAAGTGATGTGATCTGTCTGTTGTCCAGAAAATAATACTTTATTATTTTTTACTGTTGTCTTTCTATAACAGTATCCCCTCACACACTTTCATTTATCTCTGTAACTTGCATTAAGTGTTTGTTAACCTTTTCTTCGTGCACAGAATCTTTTATGTTCACCGTGTCGAGATAACTTGCAGGTGTTGCACAGAAGCACACAAATCTATGCCGCTGCTTAGCAATAACATTTTAAGTAGCTATCAGTTTACACTGTACTTTAAATAGACTAATATTTGTACTGGTGATCTACTGAACACCTGAAAATCAAGAAAATAAAAATGGTGTTAGAATTCTTTCTTGCTATGACCTGAAGTGTTCAAAAGCTGTCACGCTAGTGGCCTTCTTCCATCTTCTCATGAAGTGTACGAGCACAAAGGAGGATACCAAGTGATTTGAACACTCATAGCCACTCCCAAAGTCTGAAAGCAGCTTGGGAACCTGTGACATAGCATGTGCTGCAAACTGCCAGATCTGTTCTCCTACAATCATTCCATGAACAGATGCATATTCTTCTGAAATGTTTAGATGCCAGGTTGCTGTGTTAGCTTGAATTTTAGCATCACCTACAGGATAACTTCCCTACACAGCAGCATTACAGTTGTTTTTAACGACCAGAGAAGACTTATGGAACGTATTTTAAATACAGCTGTATCCCATATTTTATGTTAATTCATACGAAATTATTGCAGGGAGCTCAGCTCCACTGCTGAACTATGTTCCATTGACTGCACTGTGGTGGTTCTCGGTGATTCTTTGTGGCAAGCCGCATACATGCATGGCACGTGTTAGCTTTTAGACATGGTCACTCAATTATGTGTCTTAGCCCTTGTAATTTCAGTCACTCCTTCACACATCTGCACACCACTGCCAGGCATTGTGAGGCCCATTTTAGTAATCTAGGGAATAAAAGCATGATTACACTGAGCCCCTGCTGCTGTTTCTTTCAAAAGGGATTTGAGGGAGTTGACCCTGAAGGTATTTTGCAGTCTTGGTACTAAACATTAGATAACAGATAGGAACAGTAATAGCTGAAAATAGCTATTTGTCTACCATGTGGTGAGCTGTGTGCTTACTTCTTTGTTTTATGTGTCAGTGCATTATCATCAGTGGAGAAAGTGGTGCTGGAAAGACAGAAAGTGCCCATCTGATCGTCCAGCATTTGACCTTCTTGGGGAAGGTAGGTCTAACCACTCATGTAAAACTACAAACGAATCCTCCCCACCCCACCCCCAAATGCCTCCACTTTATCTCATCTTTCCTGCTGGAAGCTCTTCCTGTGAAGTGCCACCCTTAAGTCAGAGACAGAGTCACTGTGCATTTTAAGTACCGAGTAAAAAGCATTAGAGTATGATGGTGCTCCACGTCACTTGATATTTTTAATGGAAAAATGTCAAATCCCGAGCATTTAGAATGTGAAGCTCTCTCCACTGTTTATGACATATCCCACTGATCACTTGTACAGGAGAGAGTGTCAGATCTTGCTACAGGCCTCATCTTAGAAACTTCCACTCACACATCTAAATGTTGTAAGTAATGCTACTAGTTGCAACGAGGGCAGAATCAAATGCATAACATTAACCATAAGTACATATGTTTGTGTGATTGTGATCTTGGTGATCTTCGTGATAACCAAGATCATGATCTTTGTTTTTGATATCTTTAGCAGTTTAATTGAAATATATGAAACCTGATAGACTGAGTAGTTGCAGAGAACAAAGAGCCCAGGTTTTCCTGTTTGTGAGAGATTGTCCATTTCAGTATATGGCCCTGCTGTTATGTGGGTAGGTAGTTTAACTGCAGTTAAAATGTATCTAACACCATATGAACCTAGTAAGGGGTGCTATGCAGCTAAGACAGGAGATGGATGGTAGGCAATACATACATTAACAGTCCTTCTGATCTGTATCTGTTCTGTCAAGGCCAATAACCGTGCTTTGCGCGAGAAAATTCTTCAGGTGAATCCTCTGGTCGAAGCATTTGGAAATGCCTGCACTGCCATCAATGATAACTCAAGTCGCTTTGGAAAGTACCTGGAAATGATGTTTACACCCACAGGAGCTGTAATGGGAGCAAAGATTTCTGAATATCTACTTGAAAAATCGAGAGTCATAAAACAGGCTGTGTAGGTGCATTAATCATCTAATCATCTGCCCTTCCACATTAATAGCATAATGGGATTTTGCGTAATTTTTCAAAAGTTTTGCTTTAAGTGTTTTCAAGAGGGTCTGTACTAAAGCCTTTGTACAGTGCTGTGCCTACCAGAATAGTCAGTCGGTTTTTTCGGAGTGGAAACCAGTGCTGCTGCCTTCCTTGGAGTAGCTACTCCTTCTGCAAAATCAGCATGCCAGAACACACACTACTGTGTGCAGCTTCCAGAGTCCTAATCCTAAAAAAGGAAGGTGACCCTGATCCTGGACCCTTTGTCACTTAAGATGGGCTGTTCTGCTGTGTGTTTCACAGATGCAATACTTGTCTTCAGTCGCTCACCACTACTAGCTCACCATTAAAGCCAATGGGAGCTTTGTTACCTATTTCAGTGAGCTTGCAAAAAGGACTTCTACTTTTACCTCGTCCAAAAGTACCACAAGAATAAACATGTGTGCATTATAATGATACTTTTTTTTTTTCCTTCAGAGGGGAGAAAAATTTCCATATATTTTATTATATTTATGCTGGCCTTTATCATGAGAAGAAACTTTCTGAATATAGGCTTCCAGAAAAGAAGCCTCCTAGGTAACTGTCACTCATTTCTTTTAACTGCTTGTTGTAAATAGCTATTGATCAGCTCTTGCTTTCAGTATGATGCCTTAAAATCTCTTTTAATCCTTCTCCATCCCTTAAGTATCTTTTTTAATCCTTCCGAATAGAGAAGAGGACGGACAATAAGGAATTACATTATTTGTGTTTGTTTGAAAACTTGAACTATTTAAAGAAGAGCAGGAGAAAAGTTTCTTGCTACCTTAGATAGTCTGTCTTATTTTCAGGTAATTTCAGGCAATTGCCAGAAATTACTGTTTTTACTTTCATGCCATAATACTTTAGTAAGAACCCAGAGTATGTTTTGGGCCTGTGTTTTCTTAATTTGTATTTGCGCCTTGAGAGCATCCGATCTGTATTGTGGCGTCAGGGCCGGGGCAAAATGTTGCTGACACTGTGGACAAATATTAACAAAGAAAAAGCAAAAGTTAATGCAACAGAAACAAAGACTCTGTATGAACAATACCAAATATAATATAATATACATATTTTATATATATATATATATATATATATATACACACTATACCAAAGTATTTAATTAAAAGCAACTTTGAATGAATGTTCATTCCAGTAACTTACATAGTTGTTTTGAAGTCATTGGGTGTTGTACTGGTATGTCTGCTAGTATGGCACTTTATTTCTCCTGCTCGTATTTAGATATATTGATAATGAAACCGGAAGAGTGATGCAGGATATTATTACTAAAGATTCCTATGGAAGACAGTTCGAAGCCATTCAGCACTGCTTTAGAATTATAGGATTCACTGATGAGGTAAGAGATCCAGTTGCTACTTGATTATTGATCTTACGTCTAAAAGCCACCTCCACTGCTGCCTGTGCCCAGGCTGCTGTTTGGTTTTATGAATATGCATCTGTGCCACAGAGCCTCAATTTGGGCAGAATCTGTGAAAGCAAAGCCACACACCCAGGAGACAGTTTGAGATTTCAGCCTTTAGTTAGGCAAGTCTGTTCACAGTTCTGTATCACATCATTTAATGTGTCAGTAGACAGTTACTCAAATTAGTAGAACTAATGGTCTGTTGGTCTCGGACAATCTTCAAGCTTTAACACCTGTTCCAGCACCAACCTTTTTCCTTTATGAACTAAATTCATTCAATTTGGTTTCTTAAAAGTGCTTTTTGTCATCTTTTCAGGAAGTGCATTCAGTGTACAGAATTCTGAGTGGGATTTTAAATACTGGAAACATTGAGTTCGCTGCCATTTCTTCACAACACCAAACAGATAAAAGTGAGGTTCCCAACCCAGAAGCCTTAGACAATGGTGAATACACTTTAATGTTGTCAGTTGTATAAATGCAACTTGACTCTGTTTGTGGGGATCTGTAATGTGTGTTGACAGTTGGGCCGGTGTTAGCAGTTTCCACTGCACCATCCTAGCCATGTATCTTTTCTCCATTGTCTTTCAGCTGCTGCCCTGCTAAGCATTGGGTCAGAAGAACTTCAAGAGGCCCTAACCTCCCACTGTGTTGTAACACGAGGAGAGACTATTATCCGAACAAACACTGTGGACAAAGCGGCTGACGTGCGAGATGCCATGTCCAAAGCACTTTATGGCCGACTCTTCAGCTGGATCGTAAATCGTATTAATACCTTGCTGCAGCCAGATAAAAATATATGGCAAGTTACACATCACTGAGTCATGTATATTTACCGTGCATGTGTCTTTGATGGTTCATCCATTTATATGTTTTCGATTGTGCAGGAGGGATGCTGTGTTTATTTTGGCTAAGGCTTCAAGATGGCTTTCATGCTGTGATGCTGAATTCTGTTTCCAGGACATTAACCTCAGCATTTTCCAAGAGTGGAATTTAGCTACTGAAGTCAATGGAAACTGGGTGGTTAAAACTTACACAATTCATTAAGGAGACACTTTCTATGTAATAAACATTAAAATCCTACCAAAGGCTGGTAAATAATTGGAATGCACTGAAAACCTTAGTATGTTTTCACAGTCCTTCCAGTACTTCAGCATTATTGAGCTCATAATAAATGTAGATCTCAGGTTACTATTGTTCTGCTGCTTGAGATATTTTTGACATTTTTGAATCTTTGATAATTTCGGAAACATTTTCATGGCACTTTTTTGTGTTTCCTTTGCCAGGTATTGATCTGGCTACTTTGCTCTTTTCACGCAACATAAATATTTCTAGAAATAAAATAATCTTTCAGGTGATGGGAAAGTGACTGTGTTGTG